TGAGAGACTGTTTGGATCTGTGGTAGGGATATGAAGGAGAGAGGTAGTAGGACTGGGGATGTAGCGTGTGGCAGAGAACTTGCCTAGTAGGTGTGAGGCCCTGGGTTAGATCCATAGCTTTGAAAAAAGGAGAGGGAGAGGCAGGAGGAGAGGGAGGGGAGAAGAGGACAGGGAAGGAGAGAGAACGAAGTGTTTCAATTATGCTAAAATAGAGCTCCATTTTGGCCCCAGCCAGAGGTAGTTTTCCGTCTTCTGGGAGCTTTTAGCTTTAGTTTACCCAACAAGTCAGAACTACATTCACTTGAGTTTATCTCAGTGAGATGGAAAAATACTTGAAGTCAAATGTCAGAAATACTTGATCAAACCTCATCTCAAGATTTTTAATTATATTTTGAGTCATCTGGATGATTCTGTACCATCTGGAAGATTCTTCTAATTGAAGCACACTACTTTGGCGAGAACCAGATTCCAAAGCAACTGCCTTCCGATTAAAAGCAGTATGCCCAGAGAAAATATACATCCATAGTTGAGCGATGCATAAAGGAAGGAGCAAAGGCACTGGAATGAGGGTCTGCCTCCGCCGTTTGCTGGGCTTGATTAGGCATGGGAAGGTGGAAAAACTATTAGATAAAACAATGAAAGTAATATAAACCATGGATTTCAAAGCTGTTCTTATCACAACAATGTTGTAATGTCAAGATGAGGCAGAACATATGTTCCCTTCCTTAAGATGCCCCAAGTTTATTTACATATTGCAGATTTGTATTGACCCCTTGAAAGTTCTTTGCACTCAACAATTCTAAGATAAATAGTACTTCCTTCTTTGAATGAGTAGTGTTTAGCATTTCAATAGTTTAAAATGAACCAAGTACCTGTCAAACTCCAGATTAATCATACTGTTTTAGGATGCCTAACAGTTCTCAGAGTATTGTCCCACACAGCCCATTCCTCCCTTCCAATCGGCTATTTGCTTTATGCAGGAGACAGCTGAGGTTCAGAGTGTGTCACCTGCCTCTGAAATGTATCCTCTCAATCTTATTTTTTTTTTTCCACTCACGTTTAGTGAATTTTCCCCAATACCATGAAGCTAGGTGGTTGGCAGCACACTGCCCTGTGAACATGGGGCTTGGGAACACCAGATTCCTCTTGCTCTTGCTTATTCAGCCCTGTTATTATAGTGCTTTGCTCTATTTCCTTAGTCTTTTACATTCTATGGAGTGTTTTAGTTTTTAAATTTTACTACAAGAAAACACAGATTTTAATTAATGCACCACCTCCTACTCTGTTCACTGTGTTGAACTGCAGGAAGTCCTGGACTTTGCCTTTACTGCTTTTTATTAGGTACTAATTGCATAAAACTTTGCCTTCTTTCATCAGAGATGCCTCTTTTAAGTCACTAAATGAACCTTTGACTAAGTTTCCTGGCTTGAGGGCTCCCCGAGGAAAAGGAGACTTATCTCCATGAGGTCAGCTTGTCTTTCCACTCCTATTCCTCCATGGGGATCTATTTACAGATGGCTAGGTTTCCGAATGGACTTGCCAGGGCAGCAGACTAAGTTAAAGGACCTCAGGGAGGCGATTCCAGCCCGTCTGTAAGTCCATTTTGAACAAGCCTTTTCCTTCTTCTGATGATGGTGTCACACACCCCTAGCCCACCTCTACTTTGAGCTGTGTCTTTCAATACCACACAGGGTGATTTGGCTTAAATATAACAAGAGTCCAGAAGGGTAAAGGAATCAGTGTCCCATCAGAAGCCTGTTATTAAATGTGCCAATCCCTGATCCCTCAACTGGAACTCTCCCAATGCCTTCAGCTCTCTTGGCTCACAGCAGGGATCTGAAAGCCTCACCTCACACTGGTGCTCCCTACTTCCCTGTCTCATCACTCCACTCCCTCCCTTCTCCCTCTCATCAACCCTGCATAAAGTGCCTGTACATAATATATTCCTTCTTTCAGACTTTACTTTTTGAAGTCACTATTTGTACAGTATAGATACTTCTCCTGCAACTTAAGCAAGTCTTTGGAGAGTGCATGATCTCTAACAATCTCCAGAAGAAGCTGAAAGTTATCAGTGGAAAAGTTATTAGTGTCTCCGAGATCCATTAATATATACTCATTGGTATTTGTCTTGAGGACAGGTCGCCTTCCCAAAGTCTTAAAGCTGGGATTTCACTGTGTCTTTTCCTGCACTGAGAGGGATTATGTCCAAGGTCACCTTTAAAGGGCTTGTCAACGTATGTGACAAGAGAGTACCTCTAGTCACCATTTCCTGACATGAACAAGCACATTTTGTAGACTCAAATGCTAAATCCTAGAATTCCCAGCCTAATAATTCCATTATATCAGTTGCATTTAAGAGAGTTGTTCAAGATTTCCATGTTAGTTGATGAAAAAGCAGGAGCCAGAGCCAGTTTTGTAAGCTTCTACCCTCTGCATAAAAATGGGAAGCTAAGACCTTTCCAAGTCCATTCCAGACTTTAAGCACTTGTGCTTGCCATTTCCTCCTTCTAGAATGCTCTTGGCTTCTTGGCTTCCAGTGTTAGGTCAATGCTCGATTCCTTCACCATTCATACCACTAAAGAAGCCATCCCTCCGGTCACTATGACATCACCATACCTTGTTTTCACAACACTTACTATGACTTGGTATGATTTTGTTTATTTATTTATGGAAGTGTTTACTGTAAGTCCATTCTCTACTAAGATCTTTGCTTTATTATTCCCTGCTTTATTCCAATGTCCAGTGCATCATCGGTATTCGATGTGTAAATAGAAGAAACAATAGCCATCCTGTACACTATATCATAAACGTCACTTGCCCTTATAACAACATAGCTGCTGTCTTTCAAGTACGTGGACCATTGGAAAAGATTTGCTTCCTTAGTTATTTGAGCCCATAGATTCTGGGGTCTCTGTTGTAGCTTAAGATGCAAGTGTGAGGAGTTGGGATCTGAGCGTTACTCATTCCTGGTTCATAGTCTTTGCCCTGATATGCTGTACCCTAAACTCAGGGAGGGTAGAATCCACCAGTATCTTCTGAACAAGAAGAGGTTGAGAAGCTGAATGAAGAACTCCGTTTTCTCCATCCTCTTTTCCAGCCCAGGTATGTTGAGTAGGATGTGACTGAGGTCTCATAGGAAATAGATTTAGAAAGAATGCTGAGGCCTGGCTCTAGAACTTGAAGAGGAACCACACGTAGTTCAAGTTAGGTTGCCAGAACAGGGGATCAGATAAAGATTTGACTCCAGCCAAGAATAACAGCTGTGTTGCAGCTTATGTACCTTGTGCTATATATTCCCAGAAACCAGGAAATGTGATAAGAATGTGATCTTGCCAAATAGAGCTGAGGGAGCCACAACACAGAAAGCAGGGGCTGCAGGGCGTGCTTAGCTATCATCTGCAGGTGCTTCTCACCTGACAGTACCTTCTGGCTTTTTTAAGGTCAACCTGGGACTTGGTATGCTTTTATAAAACTGGACTAGTATACAAGCAAAACTTTGCAATCTCCTCCCCAAACTCAAGTACAAACTCAAGCTCAATAGAGCAGTGTAATAATGTTCAGATTGGGAAATTTCAATAGATCATTGCAAAATTTTAGAGAGGAAATGAAAGGTTTTTTTTTGAAAAATAATCTTAAGTGGAATTTTCCTTCATCTATGATGCATAGTGATAGTCTTAATTATTCTGTGAGTTCTGATTGGTAGAAAAAAAATTATGTAGCTATCCATGTATTGAATTTTTCCAGTGAAGGATAGCAATGCAGGTCAAAAGCGAATGATCAGCTGGTCAGACACGGAGTCAGGGCTCCTCTTGCCATTGGCTGTGCCTGTAGGATGGGGGAAAGCCTATGGGAGAATTGAGGCACACCAAGGATATGTGAAAACTGGCATCTCATAAATAATTAGTGCTACTTTTGCTCTCTCTGAGAGCTACTGATCTACAGCTCTTTGCCCTTAAATCTCCTTTGCCGTTCCATTCTACTACTTATTACTAGATTGTTACTGATCCAATACATACAAGGGTTAATGAAAGGTGATTTCTGCCCTTAAATACTCTTATATTGTATAGAGGCAAATAGATAAATAAGTAGGTAGTTCAAATGCCGACGCTTCTTTGGAAATGGGTCAAATACCAGCACACAGAAAAAAGATAATAGCTAGTAGGTAATAGTACTAACTAGAAGTAGTGTTTTCTAGGGTTATCTGACACCAAACAAGAGCTCATGCCTTAACAAATTGAACTTGGTGATATTTCAAGTATTTCCATTTTCATGATCATAGTCTATCATGGTCTATCAATGCTGGGTGGAAACTTGGAGCATCCGAGCCTCCTAGCAAGATTATTATAGAGAAAGGACTCATTTTAAGAGTAGCAAGGAACCCACATCACCCAAAATATGGCCCCATTTGACTCATTGCTAATGTTCCCCATTGAACTCTTTATACTGAGATATTTTTGATAAATGCATAAAGTGGGGCAATATATCACTTTATGGTATCATCTAGTTATAGATCCACTTAAAGCCACTCAGTGCAATTTGTCCTCAGTCCAGTTTAAATGACTAATCATGACACTGTGCCATACATCCCCCAGCATGGGTGCAATGGCAGAAGGAAAGTCTACTGCAGCACTGTATGCTAGGTAACTTTAGCCTTTAATAGGTGCCATATTAAGCTATAAGCTCCATGATTTCATGCTTTAGTACCTACTATAATAATACTAGAATTATCCCTAGAGCAGGAAGCAGCTTCGACTCCCTGCTCAGTTAATCATCTAGTCACATGGCCTTGGCAAATCACAAAGCTCTAGAGACTGACAGTTCTAATCTATAAAAACTAAAAAGGAGCATTGGGTTCAATGGATCCAAGGTCCAACTTGGCAGAAGTGTTCACATTTATTGAGTACTTAGAAGAAACAAGAACTCTTTCTTGGACTCACCTCGGAGGCTTTCTTCTGACATAGTTTGTATTACTTCATATTCAAATCAATTTGACAACTTACCAAATAAATTTTCAGAAAGAGCAAATTCATCCATGGCCTGTAAGTGGGAGTGTTCAATGAGATTCATTTTAATTCCACTCAAATTTTTCAGTTTGAGAATGTACTTCTGCGATGGTGATCTTCAAATAAGAACCCTGAAAGGTAAGTACACAGAGGGTTCATGTTGCCGGATGGCATTGGGAGTTGCTCAGGAGATACAGAGCGAGAGCAGGAAGTTACCGACGTGCAATGGCTCCACCAAAGATGTTTTCCTACAGCCTTTCTACGTGAATGTCCTCCACAGTGCTTGCAGTGCACTTCAACGTCAAGTTCTATGCTTTCAAAGCATATGTTTTTCTAATTTGTCTGGGAAAACATATATTTTCCCTTTAAATTTCTGAAGTTGGGAAATCTGGACAAGATTTGATAACATTTTGGTTATGCATTTCTTTTATATGTAGAAAGAAAAGCAAAAAACATATAAAGGCTTTAAATAAGATGGAATAATTTATGATTTCTTAACTTTATCTGAAAGTTGAACAGGTCTGTGTAAACACATAATAGTGGCTTAAGGATACATCCCACTGGATTTTCTTGACTATGCATTATATCAACGAGTCAAAACTCAGAAATCATTCTCTGAGGGTATACTTTATTTCCTCCTTTTAGGCAAATTTTCAGTGACTTCCATTTTTCACTCTACTGTGTACTTTAGCTCTACATTGGACTAGAGTAAGGGGGGGGGCAGGAGAGATGGCTTAGCAGTTAAGAGCACTGGCTGCTCTTGCAGAGCACCCAGGTTCAATTCCCAGCACCCACTTGGCAGCTAACAACCATCCGTAATGCCAGTTCTAAGGGATCCAACACCCTCTTCTGACCTCTGTGGGCATTGCATGATAGAGGTACACTTACATGCAGGCAATATACTCATATACATGCAATCAAATAATAATAAATATAATATTGAAAGGAAAGTAGGAGAGCTGGGTGTGGTGGCACACGCCTTTAATCCCAGCACTTGGGAGTCAGAGGCAGGCAGAGCTTTGTGAGTTCAAGGTCAGACTGATCTATATAGTGAGTTCCAGGCCCGCTGGGGCTACAGGGAGACACTATCTCAAAAATAATAATAATAATAATAAAGAGAAATGATAGTAGATCTCACCCAAATGTGTGAAGTTTCATTCTGAAGAAATTTCTAGAATAAATCCAAGAGAAGTGATGTTCACATTGAGCTATTTCTGTAAGTTTTCTTTTCTTCCTTCCTTCTTTCTAAGATATTCCTACCTCCCTAAGAAGTAGTAGGAGTGATTGAAGAGTGAAACAGGGTACCCCCAGAGCCTTCTTTTTTAGCCTGTTTCTACTGAGAAATCTTTTCTTCTAACAAATAAATATTTATATTTGCTACCCTGGAAAATAATATTGGAGTTTTGTTGGATAAATATTTATTCCATTAGCTAGCCCACAGGAGCCCACTTTACTTCATTCATTCATTTAGTCATGCTTTCAAGAAGCATTCATTGAGCACTTACTCCACAGTAAACCCTGTGCTGGAACTTTGGAGATAAAATGACAAAAGCCAGAAAGCGGCCACACTCCACAGTGTCGAGCTAAATGAGGAACAGAGACATGCGTGAAGTGATCACACAAGCTCAGCTGACTACATATTGTCATGGAAGGGGTTTGTGAAGACAAGGAATGGGGTGCTCTAATAGGTTTGTGTGAAGAGATCAGGAAGCAGCTGAAGAAAGATGTGCCTTTTTGGTTTTCTGATTGATAAATTGATTCATTGGCTTTTTGAGGCAGGTTTCACTAAATACGGCAGGCTGGCTGGCCATGAACTCACAGCCTCGTGCTTACTGAGATTACAGGTATGCATCTGGCAGAAGACATGCCTTCCAGGGCAATTAAATTTTTTTTAATTTTATTATTACTTTTATTGTATGTGTATATTTGCCTGCATGTATGTAAGGATACCCATGCCATGCAATGTCCACAGAGGTCAGAAGAGGGTGTCGGATCCCTTGGAACTGGAGTTACAGATGGTGGTTAGCTTCCATGTGGGTGCTGGGAATCGAACCCAGCTCTTCTGTAAGAGCAGCCAGTGCGCTTAACCACTGAGCCATCCCTCCAGCCCCCTCCACCAGAGCAACTTTTAAAGATAGGTGATATTACCATTCTCCTGAATTGACTAGAAAGCACCTCAAAGAGCACGAAGAAGAAAGAATGAGGGAAGACTCCTGAGAAAAGGGACACAAACCACATCCATTGAAAGGATCCAAAAAGACCTAGATCCATCTGTAAGCCAAGGTCATGGCCTCCCTACACACTAGAGAACTCTACTCTCAAGCCCAAGGAGACAATTGACTTTTTGATAGAAAAGCCATTCTGTTAGAAGACACCAAAACCCCTGACCTTCACCCCCAAACAAAATCTCAGTCATCAGAGAGACGCATCATAGTCAGTTTAGTTGGATTTGACTTAAGAGACTTTTTTTGAGCCTAGAGGTAAGAAGGGAAGACCTAATACATAAAAATGGAGTTTGGAAGCATTGAAGGTTAGGAAAGACCCTTCAACAGAATGCAACAAGTAGGAGAGAAAGTTCAGCTCAACTCCACCCTCATTTTCAATTAGCTGTCTCACATCACAGTGGAACTTTGAATCCTTGAGGGCCTAGGAGCTTTCTATGGCAAATGCAAAATAACAGTAGTGCCATTGCCCATGGAGAGGTGCCCAGCAGAGTAATCATGACTTCCAGGTGGTGATGTTCTGTCCTAGGGCTACAAAAAGGAGTAGAAGGAGACTCCAAAACAGAATTAATTATGAACATGAAGAAACCCAAGGCACTTCTGAACTATCTGGAAACTGATTGAAAGAAGTTTTGATAAGGGGCTGGAAGCCAGAGGAATAAGCCAGGAAAGTCCAGTGGTTACCAATAATAAAATCTTATTCACATTCATAAGCTACTTTAGACTAGTATATAAAATACATAAATACCATATATAATATATTATATATCTCTCCTTGGGGCTGGAGAGGTGTCTCAGTGGTTAAGAGTATTGGCTATTCTTGCAGAGGATCTGGATTTGGTTCCCAGCACCCACATGGTAGCTAACAACCATCTGTTGGATCTCCAGTTCCAGGGGATCCAATGTCTTCTTCTGATTTCAGTGGGCACTGTACTACACGGGTACAGTTACATACGTGTAGGCAATATAGTCATACACATAAAATAAAATAAAAATAAAAAATGTGAACAAAGTGGTCTCAATTCATAACAACCCGCAAAGCTAAAAATATTTACTAATTACCCCTCTACCAAAAAGTATTTAAATCCCCACCTTTAGCTCCAGCACAGACTGTCTGGGTTCAGCACCTTCAGGCTATTTGTCAAGGATTTCCACACATATCATTTCTCTAATTAAGGTTATGTGTGCATCCTCCTTTTAGATGTTCTATACCTTATTGGGGGCAAGACCTGTAATAGGAAAACTGACTCCTAAGATACCTGAGATCTTAGCCCTGGAGTCCTTTCCCCTTCAAATCCTCCCTTCCATAAAAGGAGTCATTTTCTGGGTTGAGAATGGGTAATGCCTATTCTCTATAGAAGTGGTCTTTGAACAGTCTTGCTTACTCCCTGGAAGAAGTTCACAGCATACTATTCCCCTTCTATACCATTTTGGGTTGACATTTACATCCTTTCATTCAAAACTGAAATAGCTGCAATAAATGTAGTTTGCAACACATTGTAAAAGTTGATATTTACACTTGTTGCTGCAGCATATGGCAATCTATTCAATTAAATCAAAAGATCACAGCAAGTTAATATCCTTCCCTATGGGGACATTATTTGAACAGCTGAAAAAGTTTTAAATCATTTATCTCTTTCCTTGGGTTTATGCTTCATTTTTGCTCCCTGCAGAATTTTATCCTAATGAGCATCTCCTGTGCCTGAGAGGCCAAAACCACCTTGGCCAACTACAACCTGACATCATTTTCTACCACTAATACAGTATACACATCTGCATATTTTTTTAATTTCTCGAGACTTTAAGATTTTAAACATTTAATTTTTTGTGTTGAGTTTAATCCTCATGATTAGTGCTCACTTGATCATTTGTAGTCAGTCTCTACAGATGAGGTGATGCATTCTCCCCATGACAAAGAGCACAAGTAGAGAAAGCGTGGTATCATACAAGAGTGAGTGAAGACAGAAAAAGAAGACACCATAGTTAGGCACCGCCACAGGCAGCAGGTGACAGGACATACATGCCAGAGGAAGCAGACCTCCTTAGAACACAGCTAACTGTTTTACATAAATAACAAACTTTGAGCAACTGCAAGTAGAGAGCATAAGAATGCTCTGAAGTCAGTGATAAAAGTCCAGATAGCAGGGAGCTACCATTTCTATTCCACATACGTGTTAATCTGTATTAATATAGAGATGATTAAATACAGAATCAGAACAGACAAGAAGACCACCTGAATTTACACATACCCACTTCACAACCTTCTCTCTCAGCCCCCGTTTTCCACTCCTGCCTTGGGATAGAATGAAGGTCAAACAAATAAATCGGTGCCCTCTCTGAGCTCATTTAGTCATTCTCAATAAATCGTGTTGCTAATTTAATCCAGCCCCAACTGGAAGAAGTCTTTCATGGTCTGTTTTCCTAAAAAGCTGTTAAAATTTTATTTTGGGTGGCTAGAGAGATGCCTCAGCAGTTAAGAACACTGGCTGCTTTTCCAAAGGATCTAGATTCAGTTCTCAGCACCCACATGGTGGCTAACAACCATTCATAATTCCAGCTCCAGGAGATTTGACTCCCTCTTCTGGTCTTCACAAGCATTGCAGGCACATCATGCACTTACATACATGCAGGCAAAACACTCATACACTTAACATTTTCTTAATTTAAATTTATTTTTCCGAGAAAAGTACTTTTATATTAAAAGGGCCACTGCAGAAAATTTAAGAAACACAGAAAAGCATTAAAAATGCCAAATCACACTCTACTTTTTTTTTCAATTTATTCTCTAGTTTAGTTACTTTTCCCATTGCTGTGACAAAATACCTGAGAAAAGCAACTCAAGGAAAGAAGGAAGGGTTTGTGTTAGCTCATGGTTTGAGGGGGAAGGTATGGCAGCAGGAGTGTGAGGCAGCTGGTCACACTGTATCTGCAGTTAAGAAGCAGGGAGATGGGTTGATGCTCAACTTCCTTTCTCCATTTTATTCAGTCCTGGACCCCATCCCATCAGATGGCACTAACCACTGTCAGGGTGAATCTTCTTGAACAGTTAAACCTTTCAAGAAATGTCTTCACAGAGATGCCCAGAGGTGTGTTTCCATGAAGATTCCAACCCCCATCAAGTTGACAATGGTAATGAAGCATCACACCTTCAGCAGCAGCCATTCAGTGACATCACCCAGTCATTGAACACTGTTTTGATTCTCATCTTGATTGGCAATATGTGATGATTTCCATTTTCTGTTTATCTTTTTCCAGTTTTCTATTTAAGTATTTATCTTTTTTTAACTAAGAAGAGTTTTTTGTTGATTGTATTAACATTCTGGTATATTTCTTATATGATTGTAAATTATCATTACCTGAAAATGTTTCCATTTTATAAAGTTAAGGATATTAACTTTTAAAGTTTGTTTTCAGTGCTCATTGTCTTTGGTGGAGAGTAATGATGCTTTTTTCATTATTATGACTGACTACAGTTTTCTGTTGATTACATGGTTACATCTTTGACCAATATCAACTTTTCTTACTAGTTTTCAACATTTATAAGCTATTCCATCTACTTGTTCCTTATCCTAAACTATCACTTTTATGTCATATTGCTTTTTAAATACTTTAAATTATTCTTTGAAAATCTCATACATGTATACCATGTATTTTGATCTTGTCTACCCTCCACTACCGTCTTCCAAATGCACTCAGAACCCACCAACCTGTCTCCCTCTCAATTTCATGCCTTTTTATTACTATTATTAATAGCCTCCTGAGTCCAATTAGTTTTACCATTATGCAAATGGGTGCAGGACCATCCACTGGGGCATGCGCAACCTACCAGTAGCCATATCCCAAGAGAAAAATGACTCTGCTCCCTCAGCAGCCATCAGCTACCAATAGCTCCTCAATTAGGAATGGGGCCTCATGAGCCCGTGCCCCCTCATGTTGGAATTTTAACTGG